ATTTGGAAAACATCTGATATAATCTACCTTGTGGTGGATGGTCAAAATAATTCCAACTACTAAACATAATAAAGTTATATACCCAAAATAAAAAGGCAGTTCTTTCCTGATTTCTAGTCATAAGACCTGTTCCTTAGAAACAGGACCCTGGTTTTATTCTACATGAGCAAGTGCCCAGTAAAAAGACTGAATCTCCCAGGCTCCCTTGCATCTAGGTGTGCTCATATGACTAAGTTCTGGCCAATGAGATGTAAGTAGACATGTTATAGGAGATTTTGAAGGAGACTACTTAAATGGACACTTAGGTGACATGGCACGTGGTTTTGCCTATCCGCCTTTTTTCTGTTCTCTGACTAGGATACAGATGTGATCGAATTGTGGCTGCCATTTTGGAATATAGACAACCATAAAAACAGAAACCATGAGTTAAGAATGGTGTAGAAAGACAGAAGTCTAAATTCTTGACACTGAATAAGCCTTTGTGTTTAAGTGGCAAGTAAAATAAAAATCAGGTTCACTCTCATGTAAGAAAGAGTGGTTATATATACATCATTTGGCATAGCAAATAAAAATTAGGCCTAAACCCTAAATCTGGCCCACTCCAATGTTTAACAACCAATTAAACCCATTTAATTTTCTCTTATCCCTTAGTGAAGAACATCCAGTTTGAACTTCTTAAATATTCACTTAATTTTAACATAATTATTAAGTCATTCCACAATCCTCTTGCCAATGCTTTACATAAAAAAAATGTTTATATCATGGTCTCTAAAGACTATATTCTGATAAATGTGCAACAGTTTCACACTTGATCTTCTACAAAATAATGACATAAGTTTCATTTGTAATCCGTTTTGTGTTCCCTAGTGCTGGCAATCTGCCCGTAGCTGAATAATACTTCTACAAATTTGTTATTTTCTCATTGATTTGCTCATTTACCTGTTCCTGAATTTTGATTTCCTGATAATCTCTACACTTGGTTGGAGATGAAGACAAGTCTGAGAGGCAAGTGAATTTTGAAGAATCACAGCTCTCCAAGCTGGGACATGAGGAGGGCCGGCAGAAGGTATAATACTGCTCAAAGTCAGCCTTGACCACAAATACATGCTTGCATTTGTTACACATGTAATCCCGTTCAAACTCCAGGATCTTCACCAGACTTGTTCGAATCACTGTCCCAGTGACAGATAAAAAGTGCCCCACATCCTTCGTTTTAGGGATGTGCTCCCACACCAGCTCAGGACAACCGGGCAAACCTAAAGAAGAAGAAGAAGAAACTACATCAGCCTTCGCATTTGACTCCATGGAATATACTTTTCTCATATTTCCTGAGGAAGAAAGTATAATTTCAGGGGGGAAAAACTCTGAGTTTTACTTAAGAAAAAAAATCAGATGGAGTTAAGAAAATAGAAAAGAATTCTATCAAATAACAGTTATCAGTGGACTCATTTTAAAAGTACATATCTAGATGATATAATAACCAGGATTTAAAAAAAGGATTCATTCTCATAAGAGGGCTATCTCAGTAGGATCTAAATACAGTATATAATTATAACTACATTCGACAAAGAATATACTGCTACCAGTCACACGTAAAATCAATGTATTACTCTTTTTTAAAAAAAATCTATTTTATTGATTTTTCACAGAGAGGAAGGGAGAGGGATAGAGAGCTAGAAACATCGATGAGAGAGAAACATCGATCAGCCGCCTCCTGCACACCTCCTACTGGGGATGTGCCCACAACCAAGACACATGCCCTTGACCAGAATCGAACCTGGGACCCCTTGTCCATAGGCCGACGCTCTATCCACTGAGCCAAACCGTTCAGGGCAATGTATTACTCTCTGAGTAAACCACAATGCAAAGTGATAAAGAGATGGTAGCATAACGACCAAATGCCACAGCGCTAGAAGGCCACTGCTTTTTCAGTTAGGTTCAGGATTCATTAATATGTAAGTCTGATAGTGTTTCCAAACCGTGAATTACCTAGAGGTTTACCCACAGAATCACTTTATCTTTTAAAAACCTTGTGATTTTCACCATTAGTAAAAAAGCAATTTGATAAGTGCCAAAGAAATTTTTTTTTTTTAAATATATATTTTATTGATTTTTTACAGAGAGGAAGGGAGAGAGATAGAGAGTTAGAAACATCGATGAGAGAGAAACATCGATCAGCTGCCTCCTGCACATCTCCCACTGGGGATGTGCCCGCAACCCAGGTACATGCCCTTGACCGGAATCGAGCAATGCTGGCTGTGATAGTCAAAGGCTGCCTTCTAATGGGTTTATCAAGGTAGCATTTGTTACACTGGTTCATGTCACATGGTCCACTGTCTAGGCCTCAGAATTTAGTAGCTCTGAAACCTGATAAGTATGCACACAAAAGACAGATCTGTCAAATTTGCCAAGCTCATGAGAAATAATCATAACAGGTATGATTATTCTTTAAGTTTTCGTGGTTAACACATTTTCTCCCTGAGAATATATCTACTCTGAAAGCCAAATAATAATAATAATCGAAAGGTGGTTTGGGAAGCATGGATTTTTTTTTTTTAAAGCAAATTAGTCAGATGAGCTGAATGCTTAAGGTACCAGATTACATTAATTTAGTGTTGCAGGTTACAAGTCCACAGATACTCGAAATTTCTGTTGCTTGCTGAGACTCGCTTCCATATACTATGTACTATACAAACATGGTGGGCACCGCCAACATTTGCCTCTATGACTTCTTTTTCTATGCTTCCAAGACTGACTTGCCCACTCTCTAATGAAAATATTCTGTATTTATATTAACGTAGATTGTATCATATTTTGCCAATAAGGGTCCATACTTTTGTTTAGGATAATTTTTTTGTATTCTCTGCTCTATTCTGTGTTGCCTTCACAATTTAACTCTCAGAAAACAAACTTATTTCCAAATTTCTGTGGAATGCTTCACGAATACCCCCTTGTGCTATATCAACTGCACAATGAAAATATTTTGAAGTACAAATAACAATTTTTCTTAATATTATATATTCAATATGTGTTAAGGTTTCTCAAAAATCTTCCAAAGAGAATAAGATGGCAATAAAATTCTTAAATGATTCACCTGATATCCTGGCATGAAGATTCTGCTTCATGGAGACACCCTCAGGCTGAGAAAGGGACTCGAGAATTGTCATGGCTGATCTTCTCAGTGAATTATCAAAAATAGTTAGTACTTCATTGGGGAATGCATTGAAATACTCCCCAATTTCCATGTTGGTCTCAAAAAGGGTCATGGCATTAACCACAACTGGGTAATGAGCATCTTCATCATTTTCCTTCAGGATTAAAAGAATATCATTCTTATGGTATTCTGAAACATATGACTCAAACACTTGACCAACCAGTGCAATTTGATCATTATTCATCTTGAACCTAGGTAACAAAAGAAAAAAAAGAAAGAACTGTATTATACCTTTGTTGCTAGACTTACACACAAATTAACAAAAAATGTGTGATTGTAAATCATCCTGACTTTAGGTCACACTATAATCTCAAAATATTGCCTGAATTTACATTTTAATTAGATCTAAATTATCTGTTATTTGGTAAATGTATTATTTTTAAGTGGGTAAAGAATTATGTTGGTACTGATGATCAACTCCAAAATGGTCCAATGTCTTTCCCCTTTCTTTTCCCAAAATTTCTTCCTCATTAACTCTATATTATGTAAAAGGTCCTTGCCTTTTCTTTAACTAATTTCCACACATACACTTGTTCTCCAGTATAAAATATTAAGTGCCAGTCTTTTGGCTAAAGTTTCTCCTGGTAGAGTTCTTTGCAAGCGTCCTACTTCTGAGTTTTATTCATATAAAGAACATCTATCCCTCTCTTTCTCTCTGTCTCTGTAGTTATACACACACACAGACACACCCATGCATGCATGTATATTCTGCTACATAAACAGAACATACACTACTATTCAGATTGATCACCAGTTATGACTTGAATAGTTATTAGACTGACTTTAGAAATTTCAATTTGGAGGTGAATTTATTTCCTATTTTCTCTTTCTGATCCAGGAAAACTATTGGCTTCAGCAAAAAAAAAGCCATCAAGAGTGTAAAAAAAAAAAAATAGATAAATAAGTACAGTATATTTTATTACATCATCTATCCTATTCCCCTGGTAATAATTTCTTAAAATTTGTATCTACAAATTGTATCTACAGATTAAAAAGGGCTACCCCATTCTGTGTTCATGTACACACACAGATACCTACCATGTACAAGGCACTATGCTTTGAAATAAAAGCACAATTAAAAGGTCCTATATCCCCTCAGAGAACTAAGGGACAGATCAATGTAACAGCACTCTAACAGCGGTAAAAAATGCAATATGAATAGGAGCAAAAAGGAGAAAAGGATTAAACTTAAATGGGGTGACAATCCCAAATAAAGTGTCTAAACTTGATCATTTAAGACACTTTGGTTTGGAAACAGAGAGAGAACACTGGAGAACAAGTGTACATTAATTTGACTTATTTCATTCAACTAACATTGACTGCACTAGGCTCTATAAAAAGAAAGATGAGTACAGAATCCTGACAACTACAGGATGCCAGTGAGAGGTTAACCCATGAGTATATGTAAATTAGGGCCACTACATTGCTAAGTAATTCGTTTGGGTTAGGGAATATGCACTCAGCCAAGTGAAAAGCAGACAGAGCACCCGGGAAGGAACTAATCATACTGTATTTCCATGGTGCGGCCTTTGCTTTAAAAAACAAAAACAAAACGGTACTCCCAAGAGTGGCTACAAAGAGAATCTGTAAGATTCTATAAACGCATATTAAATTTGGAGCCACCAGTTTAGCGATTCAAAAGACAGCTCCACACAGGGCAGGAGGGGGGCAGTCATCGAATTCATGGCTCAAATTCAGGTCAGATTAAACTTCGCCTAGTCTCTTTAAACAGAGCATCTTCTTTTAAAATAGCATTCATTTTCAATAACTGTGCAAAACTGATCAACTGTTTCTAAGCAGACTGCTAACCCAATCAACGTTACCCACCCAGATAGATACAAACTGGAGACACTTATTCTTTTGTAACTTTCAAGTCCCCTTTCCGGTTTCTCATTGAAATATTTAAGGTTAAAATACAATGAAAACCAGGAGGGTGAATAAGTGGCGACTGACTACTAGCTGGTTCCCTGGGAATCAACGCCGGTCCAGTGGCC